GGGGAGGTGGAGCGTGTACATAAGTATATGGCCAGGGCTGTGCGGGTGTGCTCTGCGTGGGTGTGCAAGGCCAGGGCTGTGCCTGACGCCTGTGCCTGTCCGTGCGCTGTGTCTAGAGCTGGGGCTCTCCCTGACCTCCCCATGCGCATGTGCCCGGCCTGGCTGTTGCCATCCCCCTTCTGTTACAGCACCCGGTCCTCTCTCCATGCACACTACTGTTTGGGGGTTTTTTTGGCAGGTGTGCAAGCAGGGCTGGCGGAGCCATGATCGAGGTGTTGGCCAAGCTGGGCCGTGGGCCTGTTTTCCTGGCAGGGGAGGTGCTGGAGTGCGTGATCACTTTCACCAACCCGTTATCGGCCTCGTCTACCTCTGCCAGCAGGTATGGCAGCCTGTGCTGGTGGGCCCTTCTGTGCATGAAGCCTCTATGTGGCAGAGCTGTCTGGGTCCCTCCATAGGGAACGGCCTTCCCTCCTGAGCAGCCAGATGTAGTCATGGCTGGGTTATGGGGCAATGGTGCCAGCTCAGCCGCTGGTGACTTCCCTGCCTGAGGTACTCCCATAAGGGCACTTTGCACCATCGCTCTTTCAGGGCTGAAACTGAGATTATTATTCTGGTTTTCTACCCCCAAGGAAGAGATGAGAAAAAAAGTATGCAGTTAGAGATGCTCCTAACTGCCCCTCAGGTAGGCCCTCAGTGACAGGGTTACTGGCAGAAAATGAAGCCAAACTGGCTGTCAAAGCGGGATATCTAGTTACACCTGGGTGACAGTCTCACAGGGCAACATCCAGACATCATTATTTCCTGCATTTATGGAAGGAGCTCACTCTGTCCGGCAGTGTGCCAACATATCAATGTGATCCCTGCCTCCAGAGCTGGCATCCAAAGGGGCGAGCACTGCCTAGAGCCAGAAAGAGGCAGCCTTCTGTGGCAGCATTTTCTGTGGCCCAGCCTTTGAGCGTTGCATCTCCCCTTATCATTACTGTACCCAAAATAGATGGGAGGGTGGGAGCTTCCTATATTGGCTCACAGGGGGTGACTCCACATCATAAGTAGTCACCCAAAGCTTCCATGTCCGCTGAGTGTGTGGCCTTGTCTGATTCTCCAGGGGGTGGAGAATGCTTTCGCATCTTGAGCCCTTCCTGGGAAGTGTCCATTTCCAGCCCTCTCAGGTTCAGCATCTTTTCATCACCAGTATGCATTTCACACGTGATTGTTTTGGTAGACCCACTTCCAGTGCTTGCAGTCTCAGCAGCAGCAAAGCAGTCACTTGTATTCCTCCTGTAGGGCTTCTTTGTTTATTGCCTTCTTTAACTTTCCATTTTTTCTTCTTGGTTCCTCTTGCCTGCTGAATTCAGCTTTCAAATTCAGCTGTGGCATAAGCATCTAGCTTTCTGGAGTTTTGTCTTGTGTGGTGACAGTGCTGTTTTTCCTGGTTCTGAAACATGTGGGACTGCAAAACCAGCCAGTGGAGGCAGTTTTGGAGGTTCACAGCACAGTTATGGGAGCTTCATTTGGGAACTTCAGATTCCCAATGAAGTGGTTGTGGTCCATAGAAACCTGCCTCTTGGAAAAAAGGTTTTTAAAATAAAAAAGCAGGTACTCGATGTGACCTGGCCAAGTTATGTGAATGGCAACACCAAATAGATTGGCGGGTTACATAAAGGCAGGAGCCAGGTCACTGCAACAGGCAGGCAGACCTGTGGGGGACTAGAATTTTTCAGGGCTAGCAAAATCTGTGGCGCAGGTGGAGGAACTGAGAGGCACGCATTTCGAGCATAGTGAGAGAACTGAAGGACTGTACGTAAATGACAGAAAGTGGATTTCATGGTGGTGTACAAGGCATATAAGAAACCAAGCGCTTCTGCCCAAACGCTGTGTGGAGCACGGCTCCTGTGGGCCACAGGAGTTGTAGGGGGACATGAGAGAGTGGGGAAGCCACCTCAGCAGCAGTGCAGGATCCTTCTCCGCCCTGCCAACTGGACAAGCCAGGTCTGCTGGTAGGAAGGCAGATAGAAATTTTGTTTGGGCGTCTGGTCAAAAAAAAAAGAAAACAATCCAGTGGCATATTGTTGGGTGATACTGAAAATAAATGCAGGGGGAAAAAAAATTAAAAATACGGTGTTTGAAGGTACTGTAATCATGCTAAGCTTATATAAAATTGGTAAATATTGTTCCTTAAGCAAAAGCATTTTCTGTTTCCATATAGCAGATGACTTATGACAGAAAACTTTACGGCAGCCCTTATGGAAAGGCCATGCTGGTACTTCTGAAGATAAAGAATTACAGTTGTGGGGTTAGAGGTAACTGAGTAGAGTAAGCAATGCATGTTTGGATAAAGACAGCCAGCACATACAAAAGATCAAATAGCTCATTATTAGTCAGCTGAAATGAATGCAGCACACCTTTTTCTCTGGTTTGTCTAGACGTTTAACTGCGCTGATGTGTCATATCAAGAGATACTTGCGTGCCACAAAAAAACCCCGTGCCACCTAAAAGTGTGGTGTCAGTGCTTACTAATCAGATCATGGTATTAGAAAACACCAGAGGAACCATACACTAGCTAAACTAATGAGGCAGCTGTTGAAATAAAAACAGGTGTTTTGGAAACTAGAAGGTGCCAGAAATGCCTGGGGAAATGCCCTGTGGAATGGCTAAGGTCATAGCAGAGTCCAAACCATGAAACTATTTTTCATGCTGGATGCAACCAATTCTTGTGGCTGTACAGAGAAGGGGCAGAATGAGACCTTCACTTCCCCTATAGCCATCAGTGAATCCCTTGCATCATAAGGAGAAAATAGGTCCTTATGAAGGACTCAGAAGCATCGTCCTCCGATCTGACACAACCAGAAGATGATGTTCTTGAGGGGGACGGTGCTGTGAGGAGGGAGCACATCCATGCCCTGCCTGCCCTGAGGATTGGAACTTGGGGGAGCCAGGTGCTGTGAGCAGGAACAGCTGAACCCAGGCTGCAGATACTTTTTGCTTTAGAGTCTGCCCACTTCCCTGATAGTCTTGTTATCAACAGAGGTGCCTTGGAGTGCTGCTCTGCATGTCAGTTCATGCTTGCTGTAATCCAAGTTTAAAGCATAGACATAAGTGTTGCTCTTCTTTACTCTCAGTGAGATGCTGGCCTGGGCCAGTGCCCAGATCCATTGCCAGTTTCACGCCAGCGAGAACCGGGTAGCAGTCCCTCCCTCTGATGGCAGCAAGCATGACGTGCAGGCAGAGAACGAGACAGTCTTCATCCCCAACAGAGGTGAGTGCTAGTCCTGTAACCGTGGGTAGGGGTGGTGAGAGCATAGCGAGTGGGAGTCAAGCAGGCTATAAAGTGTGTCTTGAGGGCAGCACGCGTAGAAGCAAGCAGGAAGTCCATGTTGCTTTTGTTGTATGATTCCTTGGTGATCGCTGCTGCAGGACCTTGTTGATACTGAGATCAAAGGGGTGCTAGCTTGGAGCGAAACGTGAAGGTTGTTTGTCCAGCTGCTCTGGAAATGTCTCGTTATCTGACAGAGGCATGAGATACTTCCCTTCCCCTCCGCATTCATCCCTGTGAGGATAAGGCCTGGCTGGCATGGGTGTGGTGGCTGCCCCCCCAAAGCTGGGCAGCGTTCATGTGGTTCTTCTTCTCTTGCAGGAGAGCGAGGTCAGTGTATCCTGTCCACTCCACCAAAGATTCTCTTCTGTGACTTGCGACTGGATCCCGGCGAGTCAAAGTCCTGTGAGTCCTGTCTTCTCTTCCCCTGCTCAGAGTGCTCGCCTCTGGGGAGCCTCACTCTCCAGGCTGCCTTTGCAGACCTTGAGTGCTGCAAGTGGGAGACACTGGTGCTGGCAGAAGGCAAGGTGCTTTGGTGGGAGCATGAGTGCTAAGGAACTGCTGCATCCTCCACAGTCTGTTCTCCACCGTGTGAGGGCTGCGTATTGCAGCATGTCCCTCAGTCCTGCCCCTGGCCCATGTCCTTTGCCACAAGTCCATTGTGTAGCTGTGAGGCATGAAACGTTTTGAAATACCTGGCTGCAGCTGAGGGGACGGTTACACACACCTGCATTTCCTTGCCTTTATTCAGCCACATGGGAGTATTCTTCGGATTTAGGCTGGTGTCCTCCAAAGGTCTGTGCTTCCTCTTCAGGTTGTGGCTGTCCTGGAGATCACGGAGTCTTCTGGCTGTTCTAGTTTACCTGCTGTTAAAGTGAGCACTTCTCATCTCTGCTCAAAGTGCTCCATGTTTCCAAAGCTCTCAGTGTCCTTCCATTGGGTCCCCTTTAAGCTCTCCTCCATCACTACTTTCCCTTTTGCTGTTTAGAGAAATTTTCATCCTTTTCACATGGAATTTGCAGCAACTCATTTTTATTGTTCCAGGCAGATTCTTCTACCTGAACAGACAACTGTGGAAGTACAAGTATGTGCTGTTGCCTCTTGGTCAGTGGCTGCATGACCTAGCCTGTCAGTTTGTGTCAGATCTCCTTCATGTTCCAGTGGCAGTGTGACATTAGGCATTGCAGGCTGCATGTGGACAACTTCCTCAGGTTGTCCTAGGGGTTTGCTGGGAGCAGTTGATAGAGACCTCTCAAGTTACAGCAAAGGGAGGAGAGAGGCAGTGCCTGTGGTGGAGGGGGCTCTGCTGGAGCATTGAGCTCTGGGGAGGTGAGAGCAGAGCTGCAAGTGAGATCAAGAAGCCATGGGCTGCGACGTGCTGGTTTTGAAGCTGGGTTCTCCTGCCTTTCAGGGTTGGAGGACCTTGACTGGAGGCAAAAGCAGACAGGATGAACCATCCTGGCTTGGCTAGGTGTTAGTGGGGCAGTGTATTCTGGGCCTGTGCCTCCTAAACCGCAAAGCCTATTGTCTGAGCACATTTAGTTATTTATTCTACAGCAGCATGTGGGGGAAAGAAGCTGGCCCTGCCACATCGGAGCCAAGGTCCCCTGTGCTTTCTGAAAGTGGCCATGCTAGGGAGAAAGAGGAGGCAGAAATCTCAGCTGGCCTGAGTCTCACCTGGATTCTCCGGTGTTCCACACTGCTGGGGCTGGAGCATGTGTTCCCTGGGAACAGGGGGAAGCCCCTTTTCCTGGAGCATCTCAGGCAGGCTCAGCAGGCTCTGGGAGAGCAGATCATAACCCCCAGGTGGCTGGGCTGGATTGAGAGGATTTCCTTAGGCACTGGCTTTGCAGGCAGAAGCTGTTCATCCCCCAGCTAAGCTAGTCTATCCTTCCCAGTGATGTTGTATTGTGTATGTGTGTCCTCTCGGCCGCTGGGTGACATTGGCACAAGCAGTCTGCATCTGCCTTGTGCTTGGATGCAACTCCATAGGAAGAACACAAACTCCTCTACACTTTGAGGTTCCTTGTCCTTATGATACAGCCTTTCCCCTTGGTTGTGTGATGCACACTGTCCGTTGCATGTCTTGTGTGCGATGCTGCTGTGTGTGGCACTGGGCTTTTTAGCACCGAAACCCCCATATCACAGCCCCGGCTCTGCCAGGCTGCTCACACTGCTCCCGTCGGCCTGCGGTGCTGCTCCTCTCACAAGAGACTGCAGCTGGCATGCTTGCAGATCATTCCCGGGGGCTCCTGCCAGCTCCGTGGAGGCAGAGTTAAGGCTGTGTGGGTGTTTATCTTAATTCTTCATTTCCTGTTTTTCAGAAGTTTTGAGTTTTACTGCACAGTTTGGAAAGGCAAAAAAAAAAAACCCCAAGAAATCTTAATTCTGCTTCAGCAAAGTACTATGTTATTAAACTGTAGCCAGAGCTGGCACATGTAGCTGAGGTTGTGTCAGGCTGCCTCTTGATAAAAGGCCTTGTTTTCAGTTGCCAACCAGCTTATTCCCCAATATCTTACCCTTGTTATGGTGCCTATATGTTGAAGTTGACTCATCTCCCATCCTTTTGACATGCTGCCAAGACTGAGCTCTTTAAATTTGTCACCATAAAACATTTTTCAAGCCCTCAAGTAATTTCTGTGGCTGTTTTTGCCTCCTCTCTGGTTTTGTAATACCTTTAAATATTTGGTGGATACAGAGAGGGGAGGAAATGGAAGCAGCCTGGACATGGGCTGGGAGCCCAGCCAGAGGGTACAGTGGGTGGGTAAGGAAGGCATCCATCGCACCAGGAATGTGCTTCCTTCTGGGATATGCACGGAAGCTGGGACTTCCCAATCTTCCCAATCAGCATTCCTGTGCCAGGTAGCAAACCGCCCATCCTCCTCAGATAGCAGTGGTCTCTGCTGAGATTATCCTCATTGGGCATGAAGGTCTTTGTGAGCACTCTTGTTAAGCCTGGCACAGGGTGTTACAGCAGTCTGCTTCCTTCCTTGGAAATACCTGATTTTCCTCCCTGTCAGGACAGATCTCAGCTTTTATCTGCACCCCGGTCCAGCAGGACAGCCTTGTATTTTAAGGTGTGACAGCCTCTGGATGCTCCGCACTAGCATGGGCTTTTTTCTTTCTTCCAGTTGTTTGTTTTAAATCTAGAAGTTATATTTAAAATGTAACCCTAGGTTTTAATCTAAGCCTCAATGTTTAGGATGTGCCAGACATGGGGAAGTATCTGTGGTTTCATAGCAGGATGCTGCCCTTCCTCTGGCAGGGTG